CGAAGTTAGCTCGAAAATGTCTGAGGGAAAAATGGCTTCTTATAACACCGTAACAGAATGGTTTCGTTATTTCTTGACAAGGAACTAACGAATGCCACCCTGATTTTTCGTTACGAGAATCATGGCGATTAGACACTTCCTACCTCCATGACGAGAACAGACTCATGCGCCTGCGTGGTATATGGCAGCGTTTCTTAAGATAAGTAGGTGATATATAATGTGATTTCTAAATCTTTAAAATGTGCAAATGAAAAACTCATAATCTAATGTAAAGTATTTGTTCTATAATACATAATTTTCCAGTATCAAATACACCCAAACCAGGAAACTTTGATTAACGGCTTTTAACTGAACGGCCGGGCCCAGACATATATATTTATAAGTTATTTTTATATGACGTTATGCACTTCTCTTGTGGGAGAAAAAGTAATGATAATTGTAAAAATAAGACTATAATGCTACATATATTCTACTTTTATGTTAAAGTAAATATGTTTGAGAAATATAAACTGAAACAGTTTTGTTACAGATTAGCAAAACTTCAGCGCATGTATCGTCCTGGGTGGAAGTCCTGATCGTCTGACAGGGTGGTGTATCCGCCGTACCTAGAAACCAATTATTATCAAATGTTTGAAAGATACTCGGAGACTGGTTAGAGAGAACCAGTCTTTTTCCCGCTCAACCTTTTCGCTTTCCCTTCTCTTTAGACTCCCCTCTATTTTTCCTCCCACCCTCGTTATTATCATCATCCGGTTACGCATTCGATTTTCTTTCCTCTCCCCTTTTCCTTTCAGACGTTGAGACAAATGTCGACGGTGTCTGCAGTGGCATTGCGCATGGTCTAAGAAACTCATTCGCTGTGTTCGAAGAGAGACCTTCGATCAAGACATTGTTCTTTTCTGCAAATGAGATAGCCGCTTTGTGTCTTAGTTTCATGCTTCTAATTAGCCGAGTAAACGAGATAAAAGCTTGTAGCGACTGCTTTTGCTGAATTGCTGAAATGTAAACAGGACTTCTTTTCAGTTTAGTTGGTTCTGATATTATTCATCATTTGTTTGATGAGCCATTCGTCTTAAAAATAAATCTGTTGAAAATATCCGTTGATTATTTTGAAAACTAGTTAAGGTTCTACTGGTTTTTATTTCTTTGTATAATGTCGAATTTCACAAGTTATATTTTCCTGAAAAATAGATATTACATTGTAATAACGAAACAAAAGTTTTCAATACTTATGTTTTAAAGGTTTGTAGAATGAGAACAATCTCAAATTACACATAACTTTATTATTTACGCTCTTTTTAATTTTAGAAGTAGCGAGAAGCGGTTCTACCATAGACGTATTTCGAACCAAACTTTTAGTTAAGGCTGCTAGGGGTACATTTTTTATTGCTTGATTAGCCTAGTTTAAGTGTTAGGGAATGAATCACATTATTTTTATTGAAATGATAAGTGGCTAAAGTTTGAAAGAGATCGAAAGTAAAATAACTGAGAAGGTAAAATGGCAAAAGCACGTTAAAGTACTTCTGGAGCTGTATTAAAATTTATCTTTTTTATATAGACGTATATGCATTGTCTTTACGCAGTATTTACTAGAAAAATAATATTGCCTTGTGTCTTCTTTGTCAAGAGTTTAGTAATATGATTTCTGAAAAATGTTATAATGTCTCAATATCCTTTTTCTTCTTCGTATTTTTTTAAGAGACTAAAACTAGAAATCAATGATAAGTATTCTACTAATCCACTAAAATCTTGTGGTTTAGGTCGACACTTTTTGCATAACTAATTATATAAATCAGGTAACACAAGTATGAATCTTATAAACAACTATGTTATCTTTCCTACAGGTAGATAACATGAAACAGGTACATTTCCTACAGGTAGATAACATAGAATGTAGAATACAGATAGTTTAAAATGTTACACCCGATTAACCAACTTGTAATGGACCGATACATACCGACTGAACGAATGACCTATGAATCATTCCGCATAATAAAATGAGTACATAAAATAACGTTTGTAGGTTGCAAGGTAGAGTAAGTATACGTTTAGTATATGAATAGTTATTAATTATTAATTAATTTATTTAAAGCATCAGAAATTGAAATTAACGAAAGCTGGATAAAAACCAAAATAATGTTTTAAGCGACTACAGTACAAAGTGAAAACAAAAAAATCTGATGTGGCCAGCATATGACCTTCCCCAAACTCTTTATAAGAATGCATAAATCATAAATATTTAAAAAGTGTTCTGGGGACCCTAAATTGTACTTGTTTACTGAAAACTCACTATCAAATTTTTGGACCGAAACATTACCTCCTTTGCCTATTCATATAGGTTGAGAGATAAAAATATATAAAGTTTTTGTAAAATAAGCTTTTCTTTAAACTTGTAATTAACTAATTAAGAGGAGAAAAATAATTTATCATATAGTTTAATGGGAACAGAAGATTAAATAATTCTCTTTGTAAAACTCATGTACGATTTTATATCACTAATAATAAAGTGTAGGACGCCTTTTATAAAGTTTTAAAAATATTAGCTTATATTTTTGACAGTGTAACTCTGTAATTAGATTTTGCTATTTAGACGCCTATGCTTTTATAAATTCGAGATATAAAATCGTAGATGAATTTTGTAAAGACAATTCTTTAATCATTTGTTCCCATTAAACTTATAAGTTACTTTTCTCTTTTTAGTTCATTAATTATTTCACGAGTTTTAAATAAAGCATTATTTTCTAAAAACACTTTCTTCAGTCCCCCCTTTTCTTTTATTCTTTTTAAAGTCTTAGTGACATTTTATCAGTAAAATTATTCAACTAAAATTTCGTTTTTGAACAGCAAATATCCACTTTTTTAATTCTGACAATTCTGTTATTATTTACAACCTAAAACATATTGCTTCTAATGTAATATTCAGATTAATGTATATTATCTGTGAGAAAAAAAATCATATATTAGATGTAGACTATGCTGGATGTGTACTCCCATTTTCTTCATTTTCCCTGAAGTATTACTATTATACTTTTTTTTTTAAAGGCAGTTTTGTGCTACCAAGCTATTTATAACAGATACATTTTAGGCTGTTAGAATTTTAAAATTCCATAAAAGAATATTAAGTTGAACGAGTGAATGAAAAAAATCAGCTTTTGAAATGAAATACTCAGAAAAATGGGCATAAACATATAAATTTTTTAAAATTCCCATTTTATATTTTTTCTCTCAGTTTTGCACAGCAGATATCGTAGTTTTAAGATCTGTATAGCAGATTTCGTAGCTTAAACTCTGTTGTTTTTAAGACTGATAAAAATGAAATGACTAGTAAATGCAAAATATATTTATAAAAGAAGGAGGAAGGTATAACACGTATAAAATTGCAGAAGACTCACTGTAGTAAGCTTAATTTCTTTGGAAGTAATTTTTTATAGCAACGGGATGGAGATAAATAAATAAAATCAATATTAGATAAATATATACGGAATCAAGAAAAAATAGTGTGACGTATAATGACATCATAACTTAAGCGAATAACGTGACACCCACTGAAGAAACAAAACTTACCTTATTTTAAAAAATGTAGAAAATCGCCTAATTAATATCTCTTTATCATTTCTGTGTTAAGAAGGCGAAGAGTTTGTTTTATAATCTGTGAAAGTTTAAAACTTTATAACAGATGTATTTTCAGATTATGAAATTGTAAAATAATGTCGAATGGTCGAAAGAAAAACAAGCGATTTTCTAAAATTCCTCAAAAAATCATTCGTAGTTCAGGTAGATGATGCGTACAGTTACATTCTGAAATTTTAAGTGGCTTCATTAATCGAAGGTAAGGTCCCACCAGCGACCGAGCGGTAAAGTCGCTGAACACTGGTAGTTCGGTCCGAGGTTCGAATCCCGCGAACGGGCTGTCTGCATGGGCGCTTTCGTGGTTTTCCCCATGTGTAACGTGTATACGAGCCAGTACCACTTAGAAAGTCCTCCACGAAGGTATCCCTCCCCTTAGGCAGATAGCCCTAGTGTGCTTTGCCATAAATAAATAAACCAAACCAAATCGAAGATAAGTGTGAAAAATCGTTTTAACACTAAATCTTAAAAGCTCTAAATCGAATTTTGAAAAACATTCTTTACTACATTGTGTTGCCATCCACAAACAGCGTTTGAGCAAAATTGAGCGCAATAAATTATTAGGAAAGGCCTTTAAAAAAAAATCGAAGCGACAAACACTACAAAAGAGCTAAATGAAAAGACAGGTAACAGCCATTCAGTTCATACGTTATACGTCAATAACGTCATACTCGAGAGCTTTTAAAACTGTGATTAGCGGTGCTCTTACTTTCTGTTTCTAAACAAAGTAATGTGTGCTCTTTCAAATGACAACAGAAATTTGATTCGCTGAGGAAAGACTTGATTGCCGATTAAAACGAGACCTGATAAGAATGTTTGTTTGTATGTTTCAATCGATAACGGCAGGCTCACCAAGCCAAAAAAATCCGGCATTTTTTAAAAAAAGAATCAGAATTCTTTTTACCGACAAAAATAATTTTGAAACACTTAAAGCAAACAAAAAGATTTTTTTTTTTTTTTTTTTTTTTTTTTTTTTCGAATTAACTATACATAACATTCAGTTAATGCCTAAAAGAGCAGTCTGCAAGTTTTAAATGCAGTTGATACAAAAATAGTCATATATTAAAAATATTTGTATTATTTGAAGCGTTTTATATAACTGTATTATCTGAAGCGTTTTATAGAAAATTTAATAGTTTATTTCTTTTTCATATTATTATCAACAACAGTAGCAAATTATGCTTTCTTTCAGAAAGAAGCATCGTAAGTTTACCCATAGTAATTACCATGTAGGCATTTTATGCTAATAAAAGTTTTTCCTAATGTATCATCATTCATATTAAATTTAGACCATGTTTTGATAACATTATTAAAAATTCTTTCACACTCCTCTCTGTATGGAACTGTCAAGATGGACATTATTTTAGACTTACTGTACTTTAAAAATCCCAGGAGCCCTTTTCCATTTCCGATTAGATTCCATTAAGAATCAATTCTTGTTGATTCTATAACGTTATTCGAGGATTTGCAGAGCTGTGATTGCAATTTATTTCTTGCAACATCAATACCTTCGTCTCTGAAAACAAAGTTAAGGAAACCTGAAAATAAAATTAAATAAATAAATAAATTTTAAAAAAAAAAAGAAAAAGCAATTGCTAGAGTAAAAACATTCGCAACTTTAGCACATAAAATTATTTCTGTTAATTAGAAATATACATCGTATGTAATCACATGCTAGACAGACGTTAACTTTTAGCATGTAAATTTTTCCATCTGGATGCTGTTCCGCTGCTTTCTTAGCTGCAGCCGCTATTCTCAAACTCTCAGTTTTTTTTTTTTTTTTTTTTTCATTTTTAATTTTCCTCCCATTTTACTATAATTTACATGACACATCGAATCACACAAGGAAATAAAAGCTGGTTTTTACAAACTGATGAAGTCTCTAAACATGTCACAGACCATTGAATGCAGAACATGAATTAAATGGAAGTCTTTGCAGCGGAAATGTCTTAACAAAGCTTTTTTCCTTTTTCATATACTCCATTTTGCCATCATTAAGGTCCGAACATGAAAACATAAATAATCGTTTTTTACGAGATAAACATTAACTGGCGAATGTTTCCCTTGCCGAGAATTTTTTGTGAGCGACTTCTGTATCAACTTTTATTTTTTGTTATATTACTTAAATGGCAAATAAGTTGCTTACTTTTGAAGTTGCTTTATTTTTCTCAAACTTTTTTTTAAACGGGTGAAGCTGTAGTCACATCTTCATTTTCTTTAGATATTTTAGATCTTTCAGCACAGCATTTTATCTTAACTGGTGGGTTCGATTGATTTAGAGTTCTAGACAAAGATTTCCCTAAAGATAGCCCCGCTTACATTCATGTTTCAAAGTATTTCTTATATTAGTATTATGCTAGCTGTAGAAATTGTTTCAGTTTTTCTTTCCTTTTAGAACTCATTCCAAGATAGTAATAAACGTTCAACAACGGACTCGTCTGTATGTACTGATAAAGAAGCTGCATCATTTTTAGGTGCTAAATTTAAAATGTGACAAGTATACCCCATAATCTGTCAGAAAATCTGGTGTCTCCCCTCGCAATATGACTGCAGCACCTTCAGACTTCAAGCTTACCATTACCTGTGGATTGTATGCAACAAAAGCTAAACAGAAACAAGCCCAAAGGAATTCCATTTTTCTGCAAAGTTTGATTGATTGTACTATGTTAAAGCCTGCAGAATCTCAATTCAGGAGAGGGACACAAAGTAAATTATATTAAATTTCTGCAGACAGATGATTAAAAAAACTAGCAATTGAATAGTTTTGCATCAGTATTATCCCTTCCAAAGCAGAACAGAGGTGTTTTAAATGCAATCAACAACTGTAGAGTATTGATTTTTCACACCCATTTATTTAACCAACTGCAGTTTATTTTTATTCGTTCTTATGAATATTTCTTAGCAATTTCGCTGTCTGGAAGCATTTTAAAAATAAAACCGCAGCGTGATCGGAGGCATTGAGCCGCAGTTTATGCTGAAATTAATCGACAGAAAATAGATGTTATACATTAATAACTTTTTGGTTCTTTGTTTCCACAGAAAAATTCAGTTTTTCGTTTCTCTCTCTCCCTTCACTTCACTAATATTGTCCTTGTGTTTTTTGGTTTGGTGCACAGGTTTTTATTACATTGGCTCTAGCATAATGTGTAACTGAAAAACCGCTATGGTAAACGGTATACAGCGCAAACGTATTGCTTTTTGCTTGGTGAAATAATACAGGGAAGGTCATCTGTTTACTTTTTTTTTAAATACATGGACCGGTGGCGCAGTGGCTAGAGCGTCGAGCACCAGCACCACAAGTCCGGGGCTCGATCCCCGGGCTGGGCAAGTATGACTCGGCCTTTTATCCCGTGAGCGGGTCGATAAAATGAGCACTGCCGGCCATGGTTTTCTAAGGACTGTAGCGCCATGAGTTTAGTTTACATGAGCATTTTCTTTTTTTCTTTGGTATAACTCAGAAACAAGACTGCATATTCTTAAATAACTTCAACAGGAATATAAAAGCACACCCTTTAAGGACGCCAGAAATGCAGAGAACTGTTACAATTTTACTTTGTGCTCATTAGTTGATGAGCAGGAGATACTTATGCTTGAGAGTCTTCGTGGAATGCTTTCTAAGGGAAACTGGCTCATATTCACGTCAGTGATGTACTCGTGGAGAAAACCAGGAAATCGCTCATGCAGCTACTCAGTTAGCCGGAATTTATATCCAGACTGCAATACCAGTGCTGACCAGTTTTGTCGCTGGTGGGCCTTACTGCATATGAGAGAAACACTTCTGACAGTTAGTGTTCGGAGTCATTAAAATTATTCATGTTCTTCTTTATGCACTGTCTAAACTTGGAGAAATTTTAAAAAGACAGCAAAGTTGTTGGCTAATGCTTTATTGATTTAAAAAATTCCATACCTATTATCTTTTTTCTTTGAGAAATTTCTATATTACGCGCTGGTACAAAAATAAATTCTCCTTGCATTGTTTTTTTACACATTTGAGAGGAGTCTGAATCCTTGAACTTGGCCTTGAAGATTTGTCTTTGAAAGGTTTCCAAAGTTTTTGGAAGTCGTTACGATTACAGAGTTAAACCTATAAGTACATTTGATAGAAGGCGTTTATTGTTCTTTTTCGCATTTATTTTAATTTGTAGTTTTATCTCTCAAAAGTATGTTTTACCCAACTAAAATTAAGGGATGATTGAAATTAATTAGTTTAGCATTAATGGCATTTTTATTTCCTTGTATGAAGTAAAGGAACTCTTGTAATTACGAAAAATTTCAGGTATCATATTTCAAGAAAAATATCCATTTTGATCGTTCCCAAATCCATTTCGACCCTTTTTTTTTTTTTTTTTTTTTTTGGCGAGACGTCTGTACGTACATAGAGTATTAAGGACTGTTTTTACTTTCTTGTCCGAAGTAAAGGAAGTATTGTAATCGCGAAAAATTTCGGGTATCACAACAATTTCAACCGAAATATCGAATTAGACGAATTTGTTTTTATGTGACTTTTGTATGTACGGACAGAATAAAGGACAATTTATTCTAAAATGAATTGCAAAATGGATTTTTTTCGTGACGTCTGTACGTACGACCGTATCTCTCGTAACTAAAATATGATTAATCGTATAACGTTAAAATTTTACATTGTGGGACTGTTATTACGCACCTCCCTTTTTTTATTGCAATCCGGCCGTACCAGAAATTTATATATTCGTTCCTGCCCGACTTAAAAGCCCGTAAGCCCCGTAAAAGTATAAATTTTCACAGTCGTATGCAGAAATCATATACTTCCAATTACGGAAGTGTTTTAAAAACGGAAATATTCATGTTTTTGCAATGTCAAATTAAGAAATAAATTAATTTTCGACAAATAGCGAAATATAACTTCTAATGCTATCTCCCGTTTCCTATACTTAAACTTGGGAAAGTTTTACACTCGTTATGAAAAAATAAAATTATAAGAAGTTAGTCTCTCGTACGACAAAAATTGACCGGAATATTTAATGTCAAAATTTGCAGTTTTTGACGCCATTTTCAGAAATCGGTTAATTTAGTTAGAATAATTCGTGGAAATAAGTTTAAATGTAATGTAGCAAAAAGTGTGTATAATTTAATAGACCATACCAGAAAGTTATGTGGTGATTTTTTATGACAGTTGTTTTGACTTATGATGTTGTTATTCATTGATAAAAAGTGTATTATGCGGCGAAATCTCTACAAGTTAACCATATAAGCAATTTTTTCAAAATTGTGTGATAACAGAGGCTCTGCCGAGGCTAACTGATGTTAGGGTAAGTGAGACATCCTCTTATAAAATGTAATTAATTGAAGGTATAATTAATAATATGTAGTTGTAATATAACAAAATTAAAATGTTATGAATTAAATACTAAATATAATAGGAAGGAATATAAAGGAGTATTTTGGAAGCGCAGTTTGAAATTTATCTTTTTAGCCCAAAGGGCGTTAACCCAGAAGGGCTATTTATTTCGTTTTGGCATTTTACATTGAAAACTTTAAATGTCGGTTCACTTTTCAAATTGTTGCCACCAAATATTATTGCCCTGTGTTATATTTAAAACACTTAAATAATGAGGAATCTGCACAAATGTATATATGTTTTCCGTATTGTGATGAAACAACGGTACCTAGAACCATCAAATTTTGAATAACGTAAATCTTTCACCGAATATGGGCATCTGGAAGCCCTAATTTGGTATTTGAAAATTTTCGAATTAGATTTAAAAAAAAAAAAAAAAAAAATCTGAAAGCTTTCAGATTTTACATTACGCTCAAAGGGACTTTTTTTAACGTTTTGTGTGCGGAACCAATTACCTGGACTATTGAGAAGTATTGTCGTATTCCTCCAGAAGCTATGTCAGTTTTGAGAGTCTTTGGTTTAAAATGTAATTAATGAAATTCTATCCTTTCCCATATTTACACATTAGTATCAGCTTTGTAGGTGGTTATTTTCTTTTTGTTTAGTTTATTATGGAAAATTTCAGCCTCGTTCCCTTTCCCTAGGGCTGCACCTAAAGGAAGGGATACCTTCATGGAGGACATTTTAAAGGAAACTTGTTGGTGGGGAAACTGCGACAAGCTGACCACTTGTCCAAGGCATATATTCATGCACCCCGGGGCCCACGGTAAAGAAAGCAGATATTAGGGCACTGCAGGCCATGGCTCTCTAAGGGCTGTTGCGCCGTGAGTTTAGTTTTGTTAGTGGGGAAAACCATGAACGCCCATGCAGCCCAGGGCTAAAGGGCTGGCTCATCAGCTCCTCGCCGCTGAAACCGGAAGAAGAGAGTGATGACGTAGATGGGTTCGCTTGCTGCTTTGAAAGAGTGCCTTATACCACCTTCGGTTTCATGAGTATTTGCTTGAAAATCAAAAGTTTTTGAACAACTGTTCGGTAAATAATATGAGGAAGATATTTTATCTAATGAAATTACAATGTGTATGGATATATAGCTGACCTAGTAATGTAGCTATGGTCGATTTAATTAAACTATAGTACGCGTAAAATGTAAGCCTTAAACTA